GTGGATAAAACCACTAAATACATGACTAATAACCACACCTGGTTTTCTTCGAACACCTAAATACGGCCAGTTTCTCATAGAAAATCCTCCAGATCGCCCACGCGTTATACAAATAAAGCAGTCACTTTATAGCTTCTAATCGTTAAAATATTAATACTTTCATTAATAGTTTTAATTTAAAAATAACAGTAGGCCCCCTATAACACTGTAGATAATTCCGTGTTATATGAATTCCGTGTTGTACGAGTCACTTAGATTTTACAAATACGTGAGTCGTTCACAGCTCGGCACACATATTTGTAAAATCTAAGTGACTCGTACAACACGGAATTCATATAACACGGAATTATCTACAGTGTTATAGGGGGAGGTCTACTGTAAATTAAAATTTACGTTATTTTTCAGAAAAATGATTTGTTTAATTCCATTTTTTCCAATTTTTTTTTATAAAAAACAATTTCTTTTCTTAAGATATTGTTGCAAAGACACACAATTTATCATTAAAGATGTTCACAGCCAAAATTGACGACAAATGACAAATTTGGCTGTAGTTTTCTGGAAAGGATCACTGTGACAAATAAAATTTCTCTAGTTTATTAAATACGTATCAAACTCTTTTCAATTCCTGGTTATATCATATAAAAATAAATAAATAAGAAAAAAAATCAGACAGTCCTTGAGCTTCTTCACGCTCTTTTCTTAAATCTTGTTTCCTCCCTTTTAAAATAAGAATGATTTATTTATAAGTTTTTACAATTTTAACGTGTTAAATTTTAAAATAATAAATTGGATTCGAAGTTTAGAATATTTATAAATTACAATTTTTTTCAATATCTTTTACAATAAATCTGTCGATACATATACCTGAATATATTAACTTTAATATAAGATATACTGTAATATTAAATATAAAAAACAAATTATTAATTTTAAAATGATTTACAACGGTTAATTATATTAAAAGGTTGACAGTTTCTAAACTATTAATATCAAAGATTGAGTTTAATTTACAAAAGAAAAATTATTTTAAGTACGACTTCATTAACTTCTATTTAATTAAAATATATATATGTTACTTCAATGAGATTCTGATTAAAATAAATATCGTTATCTCTATTATAGAATGAAAGTTTCCTTTTCTTAACACTTCATTAGTCAGTGTCAGCCATTTTAATAAATAGCTGCTACATTTTAAATTGTCCTTGGTTTTATCTTTATTTTAATAAATTTTAAACAAGTTTTCTACAATCGAACCTCTAATAATAGAGAGGTTGAGTCCGAAGTTTTCATCTCTAAAACGTGAACGTCGAACGTCAAGCGCCACTATCTTGTAAGTGGCGCTCGACGTTCGACGTTCACGTTTTAGATATGAAAACTTTGGCAGCAACCCGGCTATTCTCTTTGGTGTTCGTTCTTCAAAAGTTTAATTGTATTATATTTAATAAGTGTTCTAAGATGTACGAAGGTGTACTTCAATCTTTAATTATTTATTTAAAGAAAAACTAATCATTTTATATTTATTTCCTTTTCTTGATTCGATTTCAACGATATCATTTTAGTGCAAACTTGTCTCTAACTAAAAAGGAAATTTGGTCTTTCCACTTTTTTATGATGTTTTTCTATTACTTTCTCCTATAGTTTAGCACTTTAGATCCAATCTTTGTAGCCTCTAATCATCCACTTTTTCAAATTCTATTTTTAGAAATTTATAATAAATTTTATATACTTTAAAAATATATTTTAGACTTTCTCATAAATATATTCAGCACTTTACACATAATCTAATTATGCATCGTTTTTATAACCACATTTACTTTATTTCTATTATCTAAACGTATTCTTTTACTTTAAAATTTATATATTTATATGTTTTTTTTTTTTGATAATTTTCTGTGGAAAATATTCAGTAGAATTTGTATCATATTACTAATTTCAGTAATACTTATCATATTCAAGAATGTATTTCAGGAATACCTGAATTTCAAATATTTTATTCTATTTTTTGCATAATTCCATTTTAAATGTAAAGTTACACATTTTTATTGATTTCAATTTTATTATGCTTATCTTTAATTCATAGATCTATCACATATATTCGGTTTAAATAAATTAACAATAATTTATTTCATTTTAAAACTTAAAAAGATTATTTTTGCACCCATTTTTTATTGAATTATATTGATCGTCAATGCTACGAAGTGCCAGATTGGTGGCTAGTGGTTTTAGTCACTTGGCCGTTAGTGGCTAGTGGCTAAAACCAATAAACACTGGTAATTTTGTAGCGGGTTCGCACCTCAAACAGGCTTTCCCACGTGTTTTCCAGGTTTTATTTACCTGAACACCTAAATAGAAGCCAATTTCTCATAGAAGGTCTTTTTTGAGGTCCCCTCCTTTGCAGATTGTCCATGTATTGCATTCTTGTATTCCACCAAACCTAATCACTTCTATACAGTGTCGTGTATTTAACATAATACATTTAGAAGTCCTGTATTGACGCACATCTCTTGTATAATTTATTGCTGCGTTTATTGAGTAACCTTCTACATTATCTCTGGTTTTCATCACTACGCTTACGATCCTAAATCTTTCAACATGTCTGGGAATCAAGCATGATCGATGGCATTCTGTCATAATTGATCAATAATGGGAAAGTAAGCAAACTTTTTGCATTTTTTATTACCTTATTAAAGTATTAACAACATATTTACCCTGTTATTTATGTATTAGTTATTACTTCATGTATTAATTGCATATATTATGAAATTATTCGCATATAGTAATCATATATGTATTTTCTCACATATAAATTAAAATTATTGATAAAACATGATGACAAATCGTTCCTAATTAGTTTTTTCTTCATATGTCTTGATTGATCTATAGCCCACCAGTGCACGAAGCAGTTTACAGTGGTAGTAGGAAGCGGGTTCGAACCTCCCCAACGGGATGGTTATGTGGCGTTTTTTAGGTATCTTCACTTGTCTAGTACCCAAATTGTGGCTAGTTTCCCATAAAACTTTACATTGAAGGCAACCCTCTTTTACAGATTAATCATGTGTGACGTTGTAATATCACATCAATCCAAACTGATTGACCTCTAGACCTTGATATTCGATAAATTTGTTTACATTTTGAAGTTTAAAATCTAAAAATGAATTTATATAAAATTTAAAGATATTCAACGTAAATTCAACGTTCTTTACACATATATAAGTTAAAAGCATTTAATAAGACATTGCAATGAGGGTGCCACCGAAGATTGTGAATGTGCCACTAACTCAAAAACATTGAGAATCACTGACTTATTGTGAACTCTTTGATTAATTTTTATATTTTAATAGGACAAGGCCCTATTAAAATATAAAAAAATAAATGTTTTTTGAGACCTCGTCAATGCGAGGACCACCTCCAAATGGTTCTAACGAATCACCGGCATTCTATTATTATTTTATTCATTTTTTTTCCTTGTATAAAAATTACTTTTTTCTTAACATTTGACATCCAAGTAATGATTTTTCTCTACGTAAATTGATTATTGTATTTTTGTTACGAATTTCTCTTCACGTTTAACTTTGTATATTTGTTGTTTCGTTGGGCGCAATTTGTGGTATTTTACTTGAAATCTAAAAAGTTTATTTTTTTGACTTTGCTTTGTTTATTTGTACGAAATGGAAAATTTACTAAATCCAGAATAATGTAAATGGAAATAGTTGTTATTCAAGTGAAGTTCAGGGAAAAAATAGGTCAAGGAAAAAATTGATCCAATGTAAAAAGTTATCATTAATGTTAAATTTTATTGAACCGAAACGTTATTGATAATGATAAAGTATTTATATTATTATGAAATTATTAAATAACATAAAATTATTTTATTTAATTTTTGAATATTTTAATGTTATTAGAATGTTAATTAATTTAATAATATTACTAAAGTATTAAATACACAAATACTAATTTTATTCGATTAATTTCATTATAGTGTATTTTTAATTATTAATTATAATGTAAATTAAATTATATATATATACTAACTTTATATTGAAGCGATATAAATAAAACATTATATTTTAATGTAAAAGGATGCTATTTCTTAGAACGATTTCGATTAAATCGTGGTGAATGAGAGAACATTTTGAGGTCCATAACATTCTAATATTCTAGAATAAGAAAAGGAATATAAAATAAAAAATTTTCTTTAACTGTCTATGAATAACTTTTTTTATTTTTAAACACTTATTTGAGCTCCTTCCTTTGAAATAAAGACAATTAGAATATATGTTTTTGAGATAGGTGAGGACGTTGAGGTATGTATCTATAAAACTAAACGTTTAAGAAACAACTGTATAAAATCGTAGATTTTAAAATAATTTTGTTGTATTTTATAAGAAAAAATTTTGATTAACATATTTTAAATAAAGATTTGCAAGGTATTCTAAATCATACTTTAGTTATACAGGTTTAATTCTATCGTCACGCTATAACCTCAATCATAGCAGCAATAACAACAACATTATCGATATGGAAGTAATAATCGATCATAATAACTAACCAGAAAGTGACCACACATCTTCAAATTAACTACAAAGAAGAATAAGTGTAGATAATTGAGAACTCTCATCTGTTCTTTCCTTAAACATTACGAAGAAATCTTAATTGTATACGACTTAATTATTCTCTGTATTAAGTACTGCGTGCATAATTATTTCCCTTTGTCCATTTCTACTGAAAAGTATTTTATTGCTTACAATATTTACTTTCAGTTACTTTATTCCTTACTCTCTACTAAGTGGGTTAGTTAATTCTTAATTGTTAGCAATTCTTTTTAATAAGTCGAAACTATTTTTCTTCATTTTCAATTTAGTTTAATATTGATATTAATCAGTTTGTTGATCAGATTTATATTTGGATGAAGATATTCATACGTAAGAAATAATTTAAATGAATCTTTCCTTTAAATTTTGCATTTTTGATGTATCATCACATTATGATGTTATAGATTTATTCGTAAAATCGTATACGATTCAGTTAATTCTCTATAGAGAAGGTGAAGAACGTAAGAAAAGATTATTTTAAAATAAAAATCGATTCGGGTAGACTAAAAATTGATTGAAATTTTTCGAGATTATTTAAAGAACCTCCAAACAACAGCCACTGACAGGAACATGAAACACCAGCAAAAGTTATTGTGACATCGTTACAATGCTGCAATTTTTAATTTATTTAATTTAAAATATATGCTCTCGATCTCAATTTAGTAATGTCTTGCTCCTGTAAATCACACTTTTCCTGACGACAACGGAGTCATGCGGTCATCTACGTAACTCCGTTCTGGAACAATTTTCGAATTGAAATCATGTGATTTCCGGTCTAACCCGGAAGTTCATATTTAGTCAATCGAGGCCATCTATACATTAGCTTTTTATATCTAATCTCGACTTTTATCTATCTAAAAACATTCTCGAGATTAAGAAAAGACAGACAGACAAACACCGATAAAAGTGGGAATTTATAAGTCTAAATTGCAGCCCTATTATCTCTATACGGACGTGGCCGTTGTTTAAAGGTTTTTTGTGTGCAATTCTGTTTAAAAATGTACCTAAAATTCGCCGCTGTATAAAGGTGACAGTTATTAAATAGGTTGTACTGCATTTCATAACTGTTAATTTATTCTGAATAAATTTCTGAATAGCTATATAACTCTGAAATAACGTAACTATTCAAAAATCAACATTATTCATCATAAAATTCTGAGATTTGTAAAGTCAGTCGAACATCAATAATTTTTATTTTTTGAATTAAATATTGATTCTCTGCTTAAAAATTTGTATGACGGTTGTCAGCATCTATCAGATTTGTTGACGGCATTTTTTTAGACGTCTTATTTAAACATTTCCTTCCCGTTTGTACGTTTTAAATAGAAGAAAATAATAAATAAAATTATTTTTTGCTTACTTTTTTCTCTTGACCATTTTAATTTTTTACTTTCCCGGCCTTTATATAACAGGGAAAGTATGGCGATCGGTTAAAAATGATATCTTCCTCTCCAAGATTTTAAAATAAAAATTATTTTGGGGGTTTTGTCTTTATGAATGTTAGTATTTTTGAGGGAATTCCTTTGCCTTTTGTAGAAAATTTCTGAAATTTTGCATGGAGATTTGGGTATTGGGGGATTGATCTATTAAATTTTCGTGGTTAAAGGTGGAAAGAGTGAGGAAGAGAGGTCGTGTCATATCTCGAGTGGGAATAGGACTTAATGAAAAATTTTACGTTATTCGCATTTAAATATTTATTTTTAAATTCATTTCTATCCTTAAAATGAAGCTTTTTGCCATTTTATAACAATTAATGGCGCCGAATAAAATTTTAAATTTTTACCAGGAAAGTTAGGCAATTCGTTGCTGGATTTTTAAATATTTAATCAGTATTTAAATTTATTTTCGTTAAACTCGAGAGCTTCTTACTGTCAATCCCACTAGTGTCCGAGTGTATAAATTCAGTGAACATTGGTAGTTGGTCGCGGGTTCGAGCTTAACTAAAGGGATGGAGTGTTAGAGTTTTCCGGGTTTTATTCACGTATCTAACATCCGAATATGGGACAGTTTCCACTAAAAAGTCTTCTCGGGATTCATTCCACTTGGCAAATTGCCCATGTGTTGCGTTGCTTTATTTCATTTCAGCAATCTAAATAAGTCCTAATAATTTAGCTTATTGAGATCTACGGTATATACAGGGTGTTTTGCGAGATAATGGTTCTTCAAACGTATTGTTTCAGCTTTAGAAGAGGTTAACCTCTTCTAACCTGAAACGATGCTTTTAAAGGACTATATAACGGGGCAGTTTTGGGTACTCTAGGCCTACAGAACATGCCCCAGAATATGACGACTCGATTACATTGTAAGAACAAAACTTATTTCCAAAAAAAATACCTCTCTTAATTTTATTAATCATGCTTTTGCAGTATTTTTTAACAATAATTTATTACTATACAGAAATTTTAACACCGGTTAATGGCAGTGAAGTTGGGTAATTCAATAATTTATTACAATTACCCCACGTGTCATCATTTTATCTACTCATTCGATCGAATAGATTTTTGCACAAAATAACACACCAAATATTTTCCATATTTTTAACAATACTTTTTTTTTATATTTTAAATAAAAAGATTTTTATTAAAATCAGTCGATTTGTCGATCTCGTACGTAGAATTTATGTAAAATAGAATTTGATAAAATTGAGTAAAAATGATACCAGACAAAAGTTTATTGGGTACATTTTCAAATTCGTTTACATCCAATCTCATGAAATTCGAAATAAATTACCGAATGACAAAATTTGAATGAGTCTCTTCTTTCAGATATTAAACACGTCTTTAAAAATTCGAACAAAATCAATACTTTATCTAGAAAAGAATCGCATGATATGCAATTTATAAATTTTTATCTTTAAGTTAATTTTTTTTCCTTTTTTTTTAAATTTTTCTTCTTCTTCCTTATGAGAATTGAACTGATAATAGTTATAGGAAAGTTTTAAGAATTTTTTAAACTTTTTTTTTTTACTAAAACCCTGTAATTTTACAGCGAAGATTGATTACTTATATATTCTAAAATATAGTAATACTTTAACTTTTCAAATTTCTATCTTAATTTATACAACTTTTAAAGTTTTCTCCCCATTATCGGAGGTATCAGATTGAAGAACGAGATAACAAAGTATACATAAAGTATGCCACACTTTAAACTTTAAAATATTAAATTGCTTAAATAAACGATTAAATAATTGTTTAAATTAAATTTAAATCTTAAAAAATCGTGTATAAATTAACATTTTCTTTAGTTTAAATGAACAGGAAACTAAAATTGTCCTTTATTCGTTTTAATTTGTGGATTATTTGGCCATAAATTGTCCTGAAGACGAGGATGTTCTATAGATGAAAACTTTACTAAATTAATTATAACCTTAACAAATGTAATCCAATGATGTGAAATGCAAATTTAAAATTAATTCGCTAAGTTACACTTATATAATTTGTTAGGATTTATTATAGAAACTCTAAACAACGGCCAATTTCTGTGTTTCTTTCAGTGGCTGTTGTTCAGAGGTTTTAGTGCATTATTATTATGTTGGGTTTAGTGGGTTTTACTCGGTTCACACCGGTGGCTGTGTACTATGTCGGACCAGAGTCAAGGCATAGCAACCAAAACAAAACTAAAATTAAATAAGTGTGTCAGTGTCTGTATTCAGGAATTTCCTAACAATGTGGCATGTATTTAATATAGTGGCCTTCTGTAGTGTGATGTATGTATTTCTACTCAATTGTAATGTTCCCAGGCTTTTGTGTAGCGTGTGTGGTATCACACCTGTACAAGAGAGAACAACAGGTACAATAAGCACCCTATCCATCCTCCACAGATGCCTTATTTCCTGGGCAAGTTCTGTGTACTTGCTAATTTTTTCAGTGCATGTGTTTTGTACATTGTGAGTGTTTGGAATGGCTATGTCTATAATGTATGTGATTTTATTGTGTTTGTCATTATTATTATTAACCAAGAAAAAGACTCACAAATCTATTGAGATTCTTTGAATATTTGCAATTTAGATTTAAGTATTACAGAAATATTTTAATTTAGATCATATTAATCTTAGTTTCTGTTCTTATAATAAGTTGTAGCACACGAAATTTTCTATTTTTATCATCTTATTACCATAGAATGTATCGAACGATTTGTAATATTAATGAATTATCTCTTCTAACTCTAACGTGTTAATAAGGAATTTATAATTAATACGTCTGTATTATATATCTAACAGTTAGATATTATACAGGGTGTCCCAAAAGTTTTCCATACATACAAAAATAAAATATAACTTTATTCACAAAACATTAAAATGTCAGCATTAAGATTTGTGTCAGTGGATTGAAGGAGTAAGGCAACGGAACACGTGGGTAATCTGCCAAGTGTTAAGACACATGAAGAAAACCCAAACACTGCATAGTGGCCAGCCCATTGTTCAGGCACGAACCAATGATCAACTACCAGTGAGTCAAGTTCAAATATACTTCAGAGCCAGTTAAATTTAAAACTTAATGTATATTGAAAATAAACGTATGTACAGTTACAATTAAAGTTCACATATAAGAATTACAAACATTAGATATTAACAAAGTTCAAAGTAATCATCCACTGCAACAGGTCCGTCGGAAAAGCACCTTGCGACGTACAAATTCAAAGTCCACAACAATACAACAAGATGAGGCAATCTTCTAAAACAGCTTAGGCGAACTAAGGTCAGCGTGAGTTCA